AATGGATTCATAGGTTTTTCAATTTTAAATATTCTATCTAAGCGACAACAACCAGTTCCATATCCAGTTCGCAAATAAATCTCACTCCGACGTATAGATGAGATAGCCAAATCTTGCCAAGTATCACGATTGAAATCTGCAACAATAACGTCACCCATCGAGATAAATTTAACTATGTTTGTCATTACTCTCCTATCAAGTTTAGTGCCACTTCCAATCATTAGATCAATATTTCCCATATAAGAATCCCAGACTAAAATATCTTTATAGCCATCACGATTCATATCAACAGTATGAATAAGTTTTGAATAGAATGTAGGCCAATTTACACTCATGAATTGACGCCGAGAAAATTTTCCATTGCCCATTCCAAAAAAAAAGATCATTTTTTTATCAATATTAAACAATACGACAATATCAGTATAATTATCATTATCGAAATCAGTTACAGCGATACTACTGGGTGTGCCATCCCTCAAAAGTGATACGGTCTTCAGTGAGCGAAAAGATCCGTTCCCATATCCGAACAAAATATGTATACATTTTTTAATAGAATTAGTAACTGCAAGATCGACTTGATGGTCGTTGTTGAAATCAGCAGCAACAATTTTTATCGATGAATCAACGTTTTTAATAGGAAAAAATAGTTCTTGTTGAAAAGTTCCTCTACCATTGCTAAGCAATACATATAAGTGTTTTTCTTGGACACAGTAAAATACAAGATCGAGTTGATGATCATTGTTTAAATCAGCAATAACAGGTAATATTGGCTGAGTATCTTTAATTTTTCTTGATATTATTTCAAATTTCATTTCACATACTGAAAGAAACAATGAAATTCTTATAATTACAAATACAGAGAAAATGAATAATTACTAACTTGATTCGACTACAGTTAATGATGAATTTGTCTCTGTTGTAACATTGATTTTTAGTGGTGTCTGATCTTTATCTTGTCGAGGAAAATGCATAGAGAAGAAAACAAGAGACGTTATGACAAGCATTATCCATATGCATATGATGATCATCATTTTGAAAGTACATCGAATTGATTCTGAATGTGTAGTAGTATTGTCAATGGATGTGTCAATAGGTAGAGTAAATATTGTCTCATTTGATAGAGAAGGTTGGACAATGCTTTTTCTTCGTTGTTTTTGATAATAATAATAAATATTCATAGTGATTTGTGTTATATTAGGAGATATCCATTTGAGAAAAATACTTAAACCACCTTGAAGTGC